ATAAGCATATAAAGAAAAAAAAAAAATGAGTGCGATAGGGCACCTGCGCTTTTGTCTCTGCTACAAGACTTACGTACGAACATTGTAAAGAATACGACTGTTACAGTGTATGAACTAATTCGATTGGTGTATAACCGATCACAGCTCGACTTATATTAATCTATTAATACTTAAAGGAAGAAAATGAAGACGATGATGAGGAAAAAAGTAAGCTACAAAGTAATAAAGGATTGCGGAGTATTTGAAGTTATGTTTTTAAACTGAATTTTTGAAATAGAATGTGTACGGAGAGGCAAAAACGAGATCTTGTTTTTTTTTCTGTTCCCCACATGTTTATCTATTACTGGTATCTACGAATATGAAGGTGTACTATATAAAATATATTTCATCTGTATTATTTATATTTCAGTTGGCAAAGGAGATCGATTATTAATAAAGTATAAATGTATAGCTTTCCGTTTTAGTTGTTCATCCTTTTGTACATGTACTTCTGTGTGGTCTTTCTCGGCTCGGAACCTTGATACGTTTTTATTACAACGAAAATTCGTAATTTCCAACGATACGTCTTTCAATCGACGTTTCCCATCGAGCGAACCGTGTATTCTTGTAGTTTTACCGCATTCTTATACATTCGTTTCTCGCGAGACTACAAAAATAAATTTACGTGACATATGCTTCGACCAACGCTTCAGAAAATTGAAAATGTCGGAGGATCGAAATTACCCCAGAGTCTATACGAAAATAATTTTATCCGAACAGTTTATCTTCCACGTTAAAATACGATTTTATTTCCGTCGATGTTCGCGATTCGAAATCCTACAGATTTTAGAGGGCAACGGAATTCGTTCCTTGAAATATTTATAATCGTGAAAAATATAACAGTAATGTACCGTTGATTTCCATGGGTTTTCACTTCATAGGGATTCTTGTAACGTTTCCTATATTCCTATAGGGTGCATGCAACAGAATAACAAAGAACATATTCATCTCGACGGCGATACGCGTTTATTCCGAGTCGACGATGATTTCGTGCATTTTTCCGATAAAATGTAATTAATGTGTGTGCTTATCGTGACGGGACGAAACGACGGAATAGCGGAACGGGACACGAGGAACGCGAAACGCGTAAAGGAACATGTATCCATCCGGTCCGTGTGATTTTCCCCGCGCCCTCTCCCCTTAATCACACGTCTGTCAAATGGTCGTGAATTCTCGGAAGATGTGAGGCTTCGGAAAGCGGGCACGCAAAGGAAATAGCGTTTCGAGTATTCGCATAATGCTATTGCATCTAAAATACATCACGGCCGCCGATGTTCCGATATATTTACGGTAACGACGAGGAAGTATTCGACGGGGAAAGGAGCGAAGCGATCTTGGACGGTGTGCACAGCAATGGCCACGATAGACAGTGTTACGATAGAAGACCTCCGGATCGAGATCGAGAGGCTCTCACGTGAATTAGATCTAGCGTCTACGGAAAAAATACAATCGGCTCAATACGGTCTAGCTTTGCTCGAAGAAAAATCGGCTTTGGAGCAAAGATGCAACGATCTCGAGGCCCTCTACGAAAACACGAAACACGAGTTGGAAATCACGCAAGAGGTTAGCTCTGTTTCCCTTATATATTTCGATGCACGTGAACTGTTGTCTCTTTTAAGTTTTTCCTTTTAAAATTTCGTCTAAAATTCGATGCTCTCCGTATACGTTACACTTTTTAACAGTGTTTCTGCAAATTGCAATATGTTTGTTGTACAGCATTTGTGCTTTAACAAAAAGTAGAACTTTGTGAATATTTTAACCGATGTCAAGGGGGGATTATGTACTTTAATTATTTTTCTGATGTATTTCGGTTTACAGGCTTTAGCAAAGTTCCAGACAACTACAAAACTGACCACGAAAAGCGGCATAGAACAGGAAGAAAGTCTTCTTAATGAAAGTGCTGCACGAGAAACATCTCTTCAAACGCAAATTATTGAATTAGAGAATGAAACCAAGCAGGTATGTAATTTATTGTTTGAAAGAGTATGAAAAAGTTTATGGTTTCTTCGAGTTTATACATTTTTTGCTTAATGTTGCTTCATTTAGTTACGTCATGAATTGGAACGGGTGTTATCCGAACGTGATCATGCATTCCAAGAACGAGAAGAAGTGGGTAAAGACCACCAGCAAGCGGAGACAGAAAGGAAATCTTTGCGTACTATGCTACGCGAATGTAGATTTCGTGAAGCTAGACTTCTTCAAGATTATTCAGAATTAGAAGATGAGAATATTTCCTTGCAAAAGCAGGTGTCTGGATTGAGATCCAGTCAGGTAGAATTTGAAGGTGCCAAACATGAAATAAGAAGATTAACAGAGGAAGTGGAACTTTTAAATAGTCAAGTGGAAGAGTTAACAAACTTGAAAAAGATTGCTGAAAAACAAATGGAAGAAGCACTTGAATCTTTGCAAGCTGAACGTGAAGCAAAATATGCTCTTAAGAAAGAACTTGATCAAAGAATTAATAGTGAATCCATTTATAATCTTAGTAATCTTGCACTTTCAATTAGAGGAATTACAGAGGATCAAACAATATGCAGTGATGGAGAAGATGATTCTCCTGCATTACGTAGAATTGAGGCAGATTTAAAAACTCAGGAACCAGGTACTTCAGCCACTGACAAGCAAGTTGATTTGTTCTCTGAAATCCATCTCAATGAGTTAAAAAAATTAGAAAAGCAGTTAGAACTTGCAGAGTCAGAAAAAGCTCATCTTACACAGAATTTAAGGGAATCACAATATGCTGTTGAGAAAAGTCAGAACGAATTACAATCTTTTGTTGCACGTATAGTGCAATTGGCAGCTCATGTACAATCTCTGCATCACCTTCATTCTAAATTACCTGAAAAACAAACTGAAGAAGCTACACTGGATAAATTGAATCAAGTATGTATAAAAAATATCCATGTAAGCTATAGAATAAAATATTAATTAATTTATTCCTCTTCAGGCCATTATGCAGTACCATCAATGGAGTACTATGTCTGCACGTGAAGTGAATCAACTTCAAAAAGATTTAGCTGAATTGGAAAATGGTTTAACTATATCTGATTCAACGCAACAGTTACGAACGGAATTAACGAATCTGAGAAATAAGGTATATAACATTTTTTACATTTATATGGAGTTTTTTATTTTACATACTTATAAACAGCAACATAGCAGCAAATATGATGAAGAACAGAAATGTAAGTCATTAACTTAAAGTCATTAACTTAAGTTAAGTTTTCACTGACAATAAGTTAGTACGTGGAAATAACGAAAGTAAAATAAACTGTGACTCTGGCACAATGACAATTAATATTCAAAATTTAGACTTTGAATAGAAATTATGGCATTTCAGATCCCCGAGTCAGAGAAGAGCCTTCGAGAAAAGGTTGGAACGTGTGATCCCGTTGATGTATTTACCAATTATTTAATAACAATTTGTCTTTTGGCTCCTTTAATGATCCGTACAGATTGCTTTCTAATGTCCTAACAACCCATCTTGTATTGCTTTTGATATCTTTATATTCTTAACTGTTCATGTTGCTATAGCTACTGACGGATATACCATGACTTCTTGAAGCATAGACTCCTTTGTGAAAATATTTCTATACTCTATGTGTCCTAGCATACTATTGTTTTCACAAATGGGTTGATACCATCAATATCCATATGAATGTTTTTCTTATCAAGTGCTCCAACAAATGTACGGATCTCAATTGCTATGCACTGTGGCTTTAAAATAGAATGTGCTTAGGAACAAGAACTCAGTAAATACTATCCTTCTATTTGTTTCACTTGCATCTAACGTAGCATGAGTCAGACTCACAGAGCCTGTTTGCACGATGTTCAAGCAGATATTCTCTATATCATCTTGTACAGTCTTGCAAAATTACTTCAACTGTCAAGCATTGTTTTCTTGAAATACGAAATCTGTCTTTCACAATCAAAGTTTTAAAGCTGATATACATACAGTATCAATGAACACACAATAAATGACAAAACTAGTAAGTTCTTGATGAATATCATCAATGCGAATATAAACGTTATTCATTACATTTCAGCTTTTAGATACAGAGCAAAGAAGTATACAACTTGAATCTGACATTGCTATTCTATCGAAACTCGCAGTGGAAGCTGGCGGTTTCCTTGACTCCGCGCAGAATGATTTGCAAAATATTTCTGACGAGCTTGCTCAACTTTACCATCACGTTTGCACAGTTAATGGAGAAATTCCATCGCGCGTGGTTCTTGATCACGAAAAGATCGTTCCTGAAAAGGAAGAAGAGAATGAGAAGATAGAATGGTGCAGAACTTTGTTCAAGACAGACATTCAAATTAAAGATTTAGAAAGTTTGAGTAAAGCTAAAGAAATAGCGAAACATATAGAAACTGCAATGGATCAAATTAAACATCTCAGAAGCGCTGTCGAACATACAATTGAACTTTCCAAGGTTAAAGGAATACAGTCGAACGTTTGCAACGTGTGCGAAGGTAGGTTGAAAGAATTGCTAGATAAATTTATATCTCTTTTATTCCTATGCCACGAATAATATATTTCTCTTTATCTTAAACTATAGGGTCTGTAAATGAGAACAAGGCAGAAGTAGCAGACCTACAGGAACAAGCGATTAGGTTGAAGGCCTTGTTATCCGCTAAACGCGAGCAAGTTGCAACATTAAGAACAGTGCTGAAATCGAACAAGAATACCGCAGAAGTAGCGCTTACAAACTTGAAGAGCAAATATGAGAACGAGAAGATCATTGTTAACGAAACCATGTTGAAGTTAAGAAACGAACTTAGAATGTTAAAAGAGAACGCTGCAACATTCTCAAGTAAGTTTCCCATTAATGAAATTCTCAATTTACATTTCCTTATATTATATCACCTAAGATATTTAGTATCTATTTATTTCTACACAGAACAGTTAATTTATTCTCTTTTTTTTCGTTTTACTAACATTCCACTAATGTACTACCATAAAAATAATAACTGTTATCAGCATTCATGTGTATGTTGTTGCTTTTAACAAGTTGTGCCACGATCGACTTTGCAGTTGCATTGGGAGTTTGTCATCAACGATATTGCTTTGTTTTATAGCAAATTACATTAACTATTTATTACCACTGCGATTTCTATAACTAACAGTACATTTCTTCCAAAATAAAGTATAAATATACTTACATTCAAGTTAAAATGATTCACTTCAAAGATTACCGAAATTCTTTATAATACATTCGGCACGATTATAAAAACGTCCTTTTAACGTTGCTAGACCATTACCCGCGTATCACTGCAAACGACCCACAGATAGGTAACACTACCTTGAATATATTCTTTAACGCATCTAACATCTTTGGTCCTACAGTCGAAGGACTCTACTAAAAGACATTAAATTGAAATTATTCGAGCGGTTAATGTTACTTATTATCAAATGTTCTCCAATCTATTTGGGTCTGCTCTATCGTGCGTACTAGATAATTCATGCTCTCACGCATCTCTTCGTATATGGTGTTAATACCTGCTAACCGCACTCCTCAGGTCTGCGTGCGATGTTCGCCGCACGCTGCGAAGAATACGTGACACAGGTCGAGGAACTCCAGCGGCAGCTGGCCGCGGCGGAAGACGACAGGAAAACGTTGAATCAGCTTTTGCGGCTCGCCGTGCAACAGAAGCTCGGCCTGACCATGAAACTGGAGGAATTGGAGGTGGACCGAGAGTTACGGAATACTCGACGGCACGCGGCGAGTGCAAACGGACGAGGTAGACCGCGATTGTCGCAACAGACGAACCGTCCTCACTTAGGCAGAGAGTTCTTCTAGAAAATGATGAAGATGTGGAGCAAAATATTCTGAGAGAGACGAGGATATTGAACTTTTCAATTTTTTACTGCTCGCCGTCGAACCGTATATAGTCATTGACATATAGTTGCTTTTCTCAAAGATTAGGAAATCAAAGAGTTCCAACAGTATTGCGAGCTATCCTTTTTCGAATATATTTCACATCGATTATTCGTAGACGCATAGACAGAGTAGAAATTGTATAAAACCGTTCTTGTAATACGTTACGAGAATATTTTTACAACATTCGGGCAGATCAATGACCATTTAACTCTAGAACTACCAAGGTGAAATCTTTCGTGTTCTATATTAGAAGGGGCGACGAGGAGGAGGAGGAGGAGGAGAAGGGCGATAATGTTCACCAACAGTTTTTCAAACAGAAACGTTAGTTTGTAATGGGCATTTTTGGATGTGCAATAGTTAGCTTTAAGAAATACGCAACAATTTGTTGGAAACATTTTTAAAGCCTTTGATCGATTCGAGAAGTTTTACATTTAGACTAGGTTCTTGATAAATAAGAATCGCATTTCAGCGTAACATTCTATCCTTTTCGTGAGAACTGTGTTGTATCGTATCGTAGACACATTATGTTTTTAACAATGACGGAAATCTCGTTGATGTAGCAACATCATTTCTAACATTTTCTGACGTATTCTGAAAGATGACACGTTTTTGTCTCCTCCTCTCTTATCCCTTTTTCCCAAAGTAGTGCTAGGGTTAACAGACGAAAAGACAAGAAAAGACCTGTTCTCCTCGTTTGTAAGGGACAACTTTTGTAATGGATTTAACGAGACGCGGAGCAGGACGTTTGGAAAACTTTGAAATGTTCATATTTTCTTGCAACGATGTTGCTCCATATCGTAGGGATATTTAGGAAGCTCTGCCTTCTGTTACCAATGTTGTTAGTAGAGATGCCTGATGACAAGCGTAATAACGTGTTTCTGTTGCTTTTGTTTTACGCGACCGGCACGGAACTCTGTGGAACGTTCTGTGCCCGATGAATGGAACGCATTCGCAACCGAATCGCGCAAACGATTCTTGCGAATGCGAGAACGCTTAAGCATATATATTTCGATGAGTTGATTTTCAAATCGATTCGCCTTTCTTTTTTCTTTTCTTCTTTTATTTTAAAAGAAAGAGAGATACGTTAATTGTATATGTGTTTATTTCTTATATTTCAGCCGATGATATATACGTTTTTTAGTCGGATTTTATATTTATCTAGTACGATGTTGTTTATCAGTTTGTAACCGCGTAGAAAATATTCATGCATGAATGGCTCGTATGATTATAATACTTGTTAGATCGAGTCACGGATAACTTCCATTCTGTACCTTTCGAGTTCGTTATTCTTATCCAACGCGACCGAGTCCTCTGTTATCACGAACAGACCGCAGATGTTCGTGCAGTTTCACACTTAAGTGGATCGACTTGTCATTGTGTTTCGTGCGGCTGTATTCGTCGAGAGATGCATAAAATCGGCAGTCTACTTACGGATTAATAATTAACCGTTTATTCGTTGGTCGACGAATACGCCGCCCGCGATGGAAGTTGTTCGCGACTCGGACGAGTACATGAGACAAATGCAAGTTCTTTCGTATTAATGGGGGTGCATGACGAAAACAGGAAAAAAAAAGAAAATGAACGTATACTGTTTTTTAGGTAGACGAACAAGAAAAACAAGAATTTTACATTGCATACCATAGAGACAATATTATTGTGCGCGACAAGTAGCGTTTATAATCAAAGTAGAACGGAGAGTACACCGTAGACGTGTAGAGTCGAAGGGAAAAAAAAAGAAACAGTAACGAGTCCCTAACTCTTAGGGGCCCATTCTCTGAGTAGCTTGTCCGGCAAACGACATCGTTCAATTACAATGCGAAAGAGAGCGTTGCTTCATTGTCTACGACATATTCCTTTCACCGTTTTATTTCTCTTCTTTTTCTACATCACCTTTTCCGTCTGGTCCAATTCTTCTGGTATGTGGCATTTTCAGCACGTTCCAGTTCTTCGTTTTTTTACAGCTCATGATTCCGTATTTCGTACAGTTTTTATCAATTCCGAGAGGCAAAGAAACCTATACCGTTTTATAATTGACTCAAGCGGAACATGGCCTAAACAGGCATCAGTTCAATTCTATTGAATTTGGCAGCTTTTCATTATTGAAACTATTTGTATCGATCAGTGGTATTACTGTATCAGATATAGACTTATTATTGTATTATTAGTTGTTGTTTATTTATATATCTATTTATATATATATATATACATATGTATATCTATTTTATCGATTCGCTTCGATCGAGACCAGTAGCTATACTTTTTACTTTAATATTCACCGTTGCATAATATTAACCGATCTCGTTTCGTAAGATCCAGCGCAGCTGTTTACGCGGAAACCGTACTAATTAATTGTCGATTCCAATCAGAAACGGATATGTTTTTCCTGCGAATGTACATGTTACATTTTACGATCGGTTACTTTGTACATTTTCACCGCACGGTTCCCGAACGTGTCCAAGCCGCGTCTCAAACTTCAACCATCCAAACTTTATAGAAAAATCTGGTTCACCTTGTAATCAAATTATTTTCTTTCGACCGAATACAATTGTAATGGGATACGAAGCAAGGGTAATTAATGAGGCATTATGTTTTCAAAAATTGTCAATGCGGTCGCGGATCACTCGGGAACCAGGCGCTGCTGCACCCTTTTGTTATTTCCATCATTCCTTTCTTCGTCACTTTCGTTCTGCGTCCAAGCGGAATGTTGCGAAAAATAAAATGTGTGTGCGTGTGTGTGTGCGTGTGCGTGTTTTTGTAATGGAAATCATGCACGATACGCTTGGTACATCGCGGAAAACTATTTAAATTGATTGTCGATCGATCGTTCTATTTAAAGTCGATATTAACGATCAACGTGAAACCGTCTTTAATCAAATCTGTTAATAGCGCTGTATTAGTATTATTACCTTTATTACTATTACCATTATTATTATTATTATTATTATTATTATTATTATTATTGCTATTATTGTATCGTCAACAATATTACAATTGTACATTAATTACCGCGATATTGCTGTCAGCTTCGTCGCGTAATCCAGATGATGAGTACCTAAAGAGAATTTATCGATCGTTCATTGACTATCAATTGATTGATTAGTTGTCGCTATTATTATATTTATACCGTATAGTTACTCTATTGCCTGTGTCTACGATTCTAATCAACACCAGAGATCCTTGTTTAACAGTTTATTTTTATTTTTATTTACTCGAGTTAACACTACCTAGCAACCAACGGAATAAAATGTGCAGATAACAAAATTTTCGTTTACACCTTTTTGTTTCCTGTTTCTTTTTTTTTCTTTTCCTTGTTTGCCATTTCCGTGGAATCGACGAATTCGCCGCGACCTGTTCGTCGTTCGACCTTTTCGATAACCGAGGAATGCGTATTTTCTATTTAATTCGTTAACTAACGATTTAAATAACAGTCAAATCGCTAGTTAAAAATAGCCTGTCTAAAGAAGCACGCTTTTGAAATCTGTTACTTCGGTTTTCGTTTAAATCGAGCCACGATCAAATTAATCGTTAACTCGCGAAATTCATTGTTCGTCCTTCGCGCCGCGGTCTCCGAAGTGTCTGTTTACAAGGTCGCGGTGAATTCGTCAATTGGGATGTCGGGAGGACGCGACGATTGTGTCGCGTCCTTGTTTATTATTCGGTTCTCCTCGCACGGTATGATCAACCGGTTGGATGTTGAGCGATAGACACAGGCGGTTCTAATTTATGTCCATGAACCGAGCCAGCCTCGTACCACCGTCCCTTCCCCACCCGTCACGCCACTGCCAGGAACGAGTTGCAGATGAAATTCTTTCGTTTCTCTTTACTACCGTTAATTAATATTTACCTTCTGACTTCGTCCTTGATGAAAAGAAATTCGTCCTTAACTTCTCGCCTTGCCGTCCGCGCTCCACAATGGCGACACGAAGCGAAATGGTTCGTTATTACAAATGAAAAAGGAAAGAAAAGAAAAGAAAAGAAAAGAAAATACGAGGAAAGATGAAGAGCAATTGCGAATACGAAGAAATTGAGAATAGATATTTTCATCGTGTCTGTCGAAACGGCGACTCCGTCGACCGCTTTGACAGCCAGCCGTTCGTAATACGTCCGTTGTTGTTATCCTTAAAAATTCTATTGGTAGACGTTCTAGCGTCCGTTTACGTTATTTCGAGTTCGAGACGGATTCACATTTGCCGGTGGGACTACTTATATAACCCGAGGAAGTTCTTGCTGTAATACCGAAGCGGAAGTTTCGTAAAGTTAGAACGTTAAATTTAGAACGTCTGAGTTGGGCATTTTCTTGTGTTTTCCCATGAACGCGTAGAAGAAGTAAGAGGCGTGTAAAGTAAGACGCGCGAAATTCGGTCGCCGAAGCGCCAAATCTGTAAACTTCTGCCAAAAATATTCTGTCCTCTCGAGGGTTTGACCATCCTTCACGCACTTAACGTCCTTCGCAAAGTTCCTTCGTGTTGCAATGCGTGTCGTCGAAACACTTTGTAAACACGTTGCCCTGTCAACAGCCTCGGAAACGAGTCTACGGGACGCGTCCGTTCTTTTATTGTGACGGTGAGGAGGTGATGTCGACTTCGGATCGTGCCAATGTCGAACAACAAGAATATCAACTTAAGTATACCGATAAGCGATCCATCGTCTTCTCGACAGAGAAGAATTCGAATTACATTACCATTTAACGCGATAACGAATCATTGATCGGTATGTTTGTATTTATGGAGGTCCGAAGTCGACATCGCGTTCTTATCGAGTCGACGCGAACGTTATTATTCGGAAGGAAAGATACGTTGTTGTTTATAAGGAGAAATTAATTAAATCTCGAGACTCTCCTTTCGTCCACTGAGCGTTTCTTGTCTGCTTCCTCGAGCGGTGCGGGACGTTCGCGACTCGAAAATTATTCGACCACCTCGAAACGACAAATTTCAATCGAAATTTGACCAGAAATCTGTCCATAAGCACCGATGCGATCGAAGATGGCATTTAACTCGTAGCTAAAATTCGTAAAGGGGAATCACTTTCACGACCAATCGCTGTAGGCTATCGTTCTCCTCGACAATAACATCGACGTTAAACGGTTAAACGACGTTGGAGGCAAAACGTTGAGACGGCCGCGCGCGCGCCATCGCGATGATTCGAACGTCCATCTTGTCGCGTGCCCGCACCGCGAGGAGCGTCATTATAGCCAGCGTGTTTCCTTCTCTCTATTCTTCATCGAGCTTATACGGTTAAGAGAGAAATTATCTAAATGATATCATTTAACGTCGCGACCAACAAAAGTACCATGATATTTTTACATTCGTGAGAATGATGATGGAAGAAAAAGGACGAGGAGTCCACTAAGAGAATTATGATGAGAATAAACGTCGGAATCTATCTGCCGGGTGGGACGAGAAACGCGAATGTCTGTCAAAGGAACTCGAACGTGTTCTTTGCTGTTATATACAGCTATCTATGTAGTAATCATTATCGAGCAATCTCCTAGGATAACGAAATCTCCCGAACAGAAACGTTACTAGCTGCTTTTGGGTTTTTTTCCTAGTACTTTCAAGTTTGTTTCGAAGCTTATTTCCTTGCTCTAGTAATTTCCATGGAAATTTCTGTTAACAGCAAATCCAAAGTAAAATTTACAGAATCGAATTCCTTATTCCCTTCCGTAAGTTAGAAACTTTGGTTTAATCGATGTTTAGAAATGTATCAATATAATCATCGACGCTCGCGTTTTTAGTGGCTGAAATTTAGCCGGCGTTCAATGCGTTAAAACGAGGAACATCGGGGAACACATAAGAATTCCGTGAAGCGTCGTCGACCGAGACGACCGCCGATTGTTCCCTTGACGGATGTAGGGCGCAGTTCGAGGTGTCAAGTGCACCGGCAGGTAGATTTGCTCAAGGCTTCCATAAAAGCTATGATTGCGTCCCAATTCTGGCTGGCTTCCTGGCAGTGGCGTGTGTTTGGCTTAGATCGTATTATACGAACGTGAGGCGTAAAGAACGCTCGAGCGCCGAGTAAGATTAGCTGTAATGGCGTAGGATAAGCGATTTAACCGACTGCGTAACTTGTGCTGGAGTCATTAACCGACCGCGGGAATTCGAGTGGATCGATGGGTTCGAATGATGTAGTCGTCGGGCAAAATACAGTGAACCCGTACGTCATTCCCACGGCCAAAAAGGCAAATTCCGTGCATCCGGATCTGCGCGGAACTTCGAAGCTCGTTCATACTCGTTCGAAAAGCCCGGATTTCACTTGGAAAATCGGTATTCTTCGAATTGGACGCGTACGAAATTCCTCTGGATTCTAATCGCAACAGATTGGGTCTTCGGAATGGCAGTTTCACGAGTTCGTTGTACTTTGTCCACTGTATAATCGGCGGAAACGATATAGCGTGGTCGACGAGCTGTTTAGACTCGTTTAGATTCTGGGATCACAGAATCGATGGGAACGCGAAGTTTCATGGATGTTGGACTTCGTTCCGTACGAACTCTTTGGGATTCATTTTCAATTAGTATCTTTGTCAGTATACATAGCGAATTAAAGTTTACGATTACCTTACGAGAGAACTACAATAACACGAATATTATTGAATCTCAATCCATAGTTTTCATTGCGATTTGGACTCTATAAACGCGTGAAATCAGCAGCCTCTGCTACTGATCCTTTCATACGTTTTCAAGATTTGTCCAAAGTCTAGCTGTTTGACTTTTTCAGGAATTGACGAAGTTCGATCTA